TCGTCCCAACAAACGGGAATGAAAGCCGAACCTGTTCGATTTGTACAAAGAAGAGAGATCAGAACCGCATCGAAGAAGAAACAGAGGTCGCTTGCTATCACAACGAGGTAAAAATAAACAACAGGGAACCGATCAAAATCAATTTTCCCATAAATCCGTCCATACTTTGCAATTTTTTTCCTATTTCAATGCCATTAAAGACAAGCAAGATCCAGAGCAATCTATTCAGGACACTGACATAGCAAACTACCTTAGTCAACTACTTAAAACTACAGGAAAGTACCACAAAAGTTTTTTGAATAAGACTACAACATCTCTTCATCAATGGACTTTGTATCCGATACCGAACACTCAGACGCACTCATAACCAAGTGGGTAAAATCAAGATATCATGGACTGTGCACATGCATTGGTCGTTCCAAAAACCACATGTTGCACACAAAATTTCTAAGCGACTTAAAAGCCTTACAGCAGAATGAGCGGATAAACCCGATCCATACTTATGAAAAAGTCGAACAAGAAACAGGATGATCTCTAATTGATGGGAATTACTCCACCCAGATGACACAAGCATAAGTGCGATCAGTATCCAAGATCCGCAAGTAGACAATTGACAGCAGACGACCTACAAGATCAACTCATTAGAGTCAGCTTGGGAAAAACAACCTTGTTTTCATCACCGATACGGAGTCACCAATTTCATTCGCCAACAAAAAGACAGCTACCACACTGCAAAATACAGTAAAACAGGCAAGACGACAGCAGCTGGGAAGAAACGACGAAGCGAACAGAATGGTGTGCTGTAACTGCTAAAGGATCCCTTCATTCGGCAGAATCGTCACTTCGATTGAATCCGGGACGTGAACAGTCGACACCGCGTCCTTCCTTGGGGTTGTTGATAAACGAGCAAAAATCCTGAGACGAAATCTCCCACCACTTCTCGGCATCCACTTTTTCAAAAAAGCCAAATGGTTAGTCAATGGACTTTGTATCCGATACCGAACACTCAGACGCACTCATAACCAAGTGGGTAAAATCAAGATATCATGGACTCTGCACATGCATTGGTCGTTCCAAAAACCACATGTTGCACACAAAATTTCTAAGCGACTTAAAAGCCTTACAGCAGAATGAGCGGATAAACCCGATCCATACTTATGAAAAAGTCGAACAAGAAACAGGATGATCTCTAATTGATCAAGACCATATAGTAAAAATCGACAGATGCCATTGCAAACAGTTTATTAGCGCAATACTAAAAACGGTGAAAAAAAATCATACTATCAAATTTCAATGGATTTAAAGTAATTTAACAAGGCATTACATAAAAACTATTATCAATTGCCTTATACTGACGTGATCTTACGTAATGTAGCGCAATCAGCGCCAGAAGGTAAAAACAAACCCGGTACCACATTCTTTTCAACAATTGTCCTACGCTATGCATACAGTCAATTAAATGCGATTCAACCAGAACTCATTGTAACATTAGCATAATAGGAGGCCAACCGACCGAAACATATCAGTTCCAAACTGGATTCCATGGGCTTACGGATATGCCCTCAGAGTTCCCGAAAGCCATTGATCTAACGTTAAAAAATGAGAAAGACACGTTTGCTTTTCTTGACGACATCTTCATTATATCCCACGGAAAAAAATATCAACATATCGAGAATTTGAAACAAGTCTTAGATAAATTAGACCAAGAAAACATGGCCGTTTTAGTAAATAAGTACGGAGTGGTTGGGTTTTGTAATGAAACAATTCAGAGCAATACCGATGCACAGGAAAACCGAGGCGAGTACAAAACTTCATCACCCTAAAACTTTTGAAAAATTTAAAAGTTTTTTGGGTTTAATTCACCATCTTAATAAATTTATACTAAATCTCACCCAGTTATGCACGCATCTAAGACCACTCTTATCTACAGCTCCTAAGTTTCACTTCACATGGAATGGAAAGCAAGAGCATGCGTTCAAAAATATCCTAGCTGCAGTTCAAAACATCACTGAAAATTGACACTTCATAAGCAACGCGAAACTAGAATTGTATGTGATGCAAGTCGTCACGGTATCAGAGCAGCCCCTGAACAAGAAACGACAGACGGATGGGCTACTGTTGCCTACGCCTCCAAATTTCTCAATACATGCGAAACTAAATTTTCCGTAAATGAGTTGGAATTACTAGCCGCGGTTGAATATTTCAAGTATTATTTGTACGGTAGACGTTTTACCCTAATTACTGACGACCAGGCCATGGTTAGTGCTTTTACTATCAACAAAAATAACAAAACTTTTCAAAGCCGATTAACAAAGTGGACAAACCGCCTACTACCGTTCGATTTTGATATCAAACACCTTTCTGCTAGAAAGATGGACCTAGTAGATTAAGTTTTGCGTCATCCGGTGGGAAAACCACAACACCCAGCATACTTGCATGAAGATTTCGTAGTTGCAATAATCGACAGTTTTGTTACCAGCCTTGAATTCCAAGATAGCAATATGGCTTACATAGAAATGAACGAAAATTCCAACGGATTTATAGGCACGTTTCAGCTCGACCGTAAAGAAAACTTTGCTCATTCAGTTTCGCGCTCAACACAAACTGCACTCACTGTGAAAAGTCCACTTCTCGAAAAACAGTCAAAAAAATTCTTCTCTTCACTGCAACAAATTTCATTCAAAAAAAAACAATTTCGTATTTTACAATATTCGATACAGACTTTTGATACGAGACAGCGAATTACTATATGATGACCGGGTGGAAATCCCCAAACAACTCAAGCAGAAAATTCTAGATTCACTACATCTAACACAACCAGGTCAGGTATGTTGGAGGCTGCAAAAACTGTATGGTATCCAGACCTACACAGGGATATTGTAAAAACAGCCCAAAACGGCAAAGACTACCGCGCGAAGGGTAAGAATCTTAAGAATATTTCTGAGAAAAACCGTTTCACCTCATTGATGGTGAAATCCAATTGGATTTTGACGGACCATTACCTGACGAAAGTAACAAGTACATCCTAGTAGGTGTCGACGTTTCTCGCGATTCCCGTCAGCAAAAGTGGTCACTAACAAAAAAGCCGACACCCCTAAAAAATTTGCTGACCCACATTGTAAATTGCGACGTACCACGGAATGTTCTTTGCGACCAAGCCCAAGTGTTTCGGGCCAAAAAGTTGATGATATATTGTAAAAGCAATAACATAAAATGAATATTCGCACCGGTCAGTCACCGCCACTCAATGGTGCATGGTAGAAAGGTTGATCAGCACCCTAAGAACTAGACTGTCGGTCATGAGAATAGATAAAAATAAATAACGGTACAAACTTGCCTCAGAAGTGGCAGAGTTATTCAAGACATTGCGTATCACAACACCACATGCAAAAACAAAACTCACGCCGTTTGAGGCACACAATGGGGGTAAACCAAACACACCTCTAATTATAATCTGCACATCGCCAAAAGCATCTAACTTCTCATGGGAAAACACAAATTTTCGTAATTAGATCAAAAAATCTTAACAAAGCCCGCGCTCCCCGACTAAGCCATATGGAATCGCGATCAGGACGAATTTAGCTTAGTGTACAAAGACAAAACCTACCTACCAGAACCGACGTTCGAACTAGCGGATCTACTCATGCACAGCGGACCACAAGCTGACAGTCAATAAACTATCATAGACAGGGACGACCGCATTTCTGGAAATAAGAAAAAATAGACAGCACGTGCCTACAACTTGAGCCCCACGGATAGAGCAACGTTTGAAAGTGATGATGATCATAAAATCGACCGCATGCTGATGCAGAAACTTCCAATAGGTGCGCATCTTCTCTTCGAGAACATATCATATGATATGGTAAATGTTAAACAATTTTCACTAGCCGATAATTCAAAAAACGATATCGCAGATATAAGAACACGGAAACCAATACGTTGGCTTACCACACAGTAAAAACAAAGGCTAGGAAAGAAGGCCGCTTTAAGGGCCACCAAAAAAACACAGATTTAAATCACAGAGCTCGAATTAGCTCTTCGGAGTGACCAGCTCGAGCTAATAGACCTTAGGTGAGCTCAAAAATTTTTCAATTGCTCTTTCACGTGCCTAACTGTTTTTACGTGAAAAAAGGTTTTCGTTCCGGTTGAGGTCCGCTTCTTATCTGCTCTCTCATTGGCTGCTAATATGAGAGCCAATGAGAGGGCAGGGAAGTCGGTCCAGAATTGTTAGGAACCTAGTGATTTTCGTCAATCTCAAACCCAACTTCTACATCAACTACAACTGCAACAACCATTTCTGGACGAGGAAAGGGAGGAAAAGGACTTGGCGAAGGAGGAGCGAAGAGGCACAGGAAAATCTTTAGAGATAACAACCAAGGCATCACCAAGCCAGCCATAAGACGTCTTGCTCGGCAAGGAGGTGTCAAGCGTGTCAGTGGACTGCTCTACGAAGAGACACGAGGAGTATTCAAGAACTACTTGGAGAACGTGATCAGTGAGGCTCTTACTACACCAAACACGCCAAGAGGAAGACTGTATTAGCCAGGGACAGAGCAAGCTTAAGCTGGTATGGGTTGCGCTCTGCTTCACCCTCATTGGGATGACGCAGCCGGAAATTGAGCTCGAGCTAGCTGTTCAGTTGCTCCCGTACGTAGCCTTACTATTTAAAAGTTCGAGCTCTCAAACTCAGCAAGCTACCTCAGAGAGCTCAGAAGAGCTTGTGCGACTTTGATTTAATTCACAGAGCTCGAATTAGCTCTTCGGACTGACTAGAATATTCGAAGAATACTTAATTTTGATTGGCTCTCAGCTCAAAGCTCAACTAAGATTCACTTTTTTACTGCCAGTCGAATTCGAGGCTAGCTAGTGTTGTTAGACTACCTTAGCTTGCTCTGCGTAGCTCAGCTATGGCTGCTAGGCAGGATAAGAAGACAAAACTTTAAAGTTGGTGGCCTTCAAAAAGGCCGGGTTGGTGTTAAAGCTTGAGAGGTGGAAGCTATTTACATCATGTCAGTCTTGGGCTGAGACGAAGACTGCTTCTTGCGCAGGAGCACATGGATGTTCAGCAGCACACCATCTTGAGCAATTGTCACTCCATGGAGCAGCTTGTTCAGCTCTTCGTCGTTCCTGATGGCCAACTGCAAGTGTCTGTGCATGATCCTGGACTTCTTGTTATCTTTAGCAGCGTTTCCAGTTAGCTCAAGGATCTCAGCAGTCAAGTACTCGAGCAGAGCAGCAAGGTAGATTGGTGCTGCAGCACCAACTCGCTCAGCGTAGTTGCCCTTGCGGCTGAATCGATGGATTCGTCCAACTGGGAACTGCGGTCCAGCTCGGCTTGATCGGGTCTTGGCCTCGGCTCCAGCTTTGCCACTCTTCGGTTTTCCTCCTTTGCCTGACATCGTATTGTTATTGTAGTTGTTGTGGTAGAATCTGTAGGTTGACGATTGACTTTACCACAATTTGGCTACTTGTCTTAGGGTAGTATATTCAAATCGGCTCGATTGTTGCTTGTTAATAAGATATGATTGCTTGCTGGCATGCTCTCGAATTGACCTCGAAGCTCCTGGCCTGCGTGCCCTAACATAGCCTCAATGACTGAACCAGTTAAAGCCGTCGTTGCCGAAAACTCTTCCAGAGTAAGACTCATTTGATTGACTCGAAACCAATATCCTGTTGAGTCCATCTTGAACAGTTTCATGTAGTGACAGACATTATAATTACAAGTTTCGAAGGCAAATAGGACAAATCGTCAAATACGACGCTCAAGATTCCACGAAGCGTCCATGTTCGATTGTGTCAAATCGTCCACAGCGTTTTTTTTATACTTTTTGATTCGTATCTTGATGTTTCCTGCTGCTTTTGTTGCTTACACTTAGTTTTTGACCAATCGCTAATACTTAACCTGGCTTTTTGTTGCTGTGAGTTGATCTTTCATCGGAAACTCATACTATATTTCAAACAATCAAAATAACCTTTTGCTTAACATAGACGCCGAACAAAATGGAAACAAAATTAGATCTCCAAAGTTAACCTTTTTGAAACCAGAAAGTTCGAAAACTTGTAACAACACATGTAAACGGTTTTAAATCACCAGAGTCTGTACATATTTTAATCATTATATTATGTATAAGTTTTTCGTCACGATTTTTTTTCTGTGAACTATCAAACACTTGATGAAGACTGCCGGTGGACGAATTGGGTTTTTCAATCGTCGAGAACATTTGTTGCGCGTCGAAATGCTGAAAACTTCTCAACAATGGTGCTTTTGTATTACCCACATATGAAAGCACAATAGACGAACGCTTGATGACAACGTCCTATATCAATCGGAAAAGCTGGTTCAACCAGAATTCAACCTATGTGAATTTTATCCTGAGATCTGCTCAATTCCAAAATGAAAAAAAAAAATCATTTTTGGATTGCTGTTCCAGATTCCAGACTTGTTTATTTTGCTAGTAATGTAATTTTTATGTTGGTTTTTATTCCAGCAAACACGAGAAATATGTATCGCTTTATTCATGCTATCAATCAAAACATCAAAATTTTTGTAGTTTCCAAGAGTAATTTGTAAATTTCTTTACCATCTTTTATAATAGCCCAAGTCAAAATTCCCAGTGCTAACGTTTCAGACATTTTTAGGATATGTTACTTCTGCAAGACAAACACATCATTGTTCTTCAAGACTCAAGGGCTCGCCTGATGCTGTACGAATGATGCAAGAGTGTTTTCAGTGTAAGTTTCCAAAGATGCGTTTGAGGAAAGGTCAGCAGTGAAAGATTCTGTTTTACAAAAATAAGAAAAAATCAAATATTGAACAAATCTGTTCACAAATTGTGAATCTATTGCTAACACATAGGAAACTTCTGAACCTCACAAAGCTTCCCAAACACAATCAATCCTTTCTCCCATCCCCTAAGTTGAACATGGTATAAACATTTCTTTAGTCTGTTCACATTTTGTGAACAAAACTTCCTAACCATGCATGGAGAGGACAGTTTTTTGAACGTTGAAAATTTTGTTCACAAAATGTGAACATTCTTATTCAATATTTAAGCTAGTTGATAATTTTTACCGGCAAAAATTTGTTTTTTAAAATTATAATTGAAAAGAAGGCAGCAACAAAATTGTGTGTTTTTGAATAAACTGTTTTCCTCCTTGTTAAGAAAGTACTCTTTTTGACAGAGAAATTGACCCATCAGAATACAAGGTGTCGATTGACCAATCACAAGCAAGCATTCTTATTCACTCCCTCCTGGTAAAACTTTTTTCAATAAATATATTTATTCTGTTCACATTTTGTGAACCGAACTTTTTAAGCATGGCGAGACCAATTTTGGTTTTTGTTCACAAAATATCAACAGTTTTAATCTATGTATAAATTAGTCGACGATTTTTGCAGAGATCAATTTGTTTTCAAATTTATAAATCAAGGCAACAAGCAATTTTGTGTGTTTTGGACTGAAAATTTTTCCTCCTTATTGAGAAAATATTCATATTCAAAGAAAAAATGACCAATCAGAAGACAAGGTTTCGATTGACCAATCACAAGCAAGCATTCTTATTCACTCCCTCCTGGTTAAAATTTTTAATATCTATATATCCTTATTCTGTTCACATTTTGTGAACATAAATTCTTAGCCATGCATGGAGAGACCAAACTATTGTTCACAAAATGTGAATATTTTTTTTTCGACGTATAAATTATTTGACATTTTTTACAGGGATAAATTTGTTTTTCAAAGTCATAAATGAAGGCAACAAACAAATTTGTGTGTTTTCAAAAACAAATGTTTTCCTCCTGACAAAGAAGATATTCAAATTGACACCAAAACTGACCAATCAGAGTACAAGGTTTCAATTGACCAATCACAAGCAAAATGTGAACCTAATTCTTTTTTTATGAAATTGTTAAGCAATGCAAAATCGGTTCACAAAATGTGAACGGTGCTAGGCAGAGCTTTTTTATCCCACTTTTTTCAGTTTTAAACAACTTCATCCCTCCCATTTTTTTAAACTGATTCTAGAGTGAAAATAAAATTGCGAAGCTGAAAGGAAATACATTTTTAACTGCCACGTCATTTGTTGATTTTTCTATATTTGCCTTATTTCTTTTTGTTTCCTTAAAATGTTTTTGAAAAAACTATCCCTAAGCTTAATACACAGGACTCAGTTAATTAATACTTAGTACCCAGTTCAAAAATTGGGCCATAAATCTTGGTAAATTATAACAAAAACAGGGGTAACTTCGAAGATCTGTAACCACAGGTTGTTTGTTTTTAAATTGAAGGGGACAAATGTTTCCAATACTGGTCCCTTTTGAGATAAAATGAATGATGAATGAAAGAATATACCAAACTGACTAAAAATTGGGTTCGATAGTGGGGTTTTTTACTCCGCTTTTCCCGCATTTCAATTTCAGTAGTGAAAAATGTTTGAATATTGACATCAGGCAAAAAAAAATTTAACGATGAAAGAATTAATTATTGTGACTAGAGTTATTCTTCATACGATATATCGTAACATCACACTTTTATTCATAGTAACACATAAAACAACAAGCTAAAAATTTTGCAATGATGGGAAAATGGAAAAATCCACATCATCTTCGTCTGGAAAATTACAGGCAAAAACTTGGAACCGGGAAAAGCTCAGCCATCGCATTACTCAAATTCTTTTTATGTGTTTTGAATTCTTAAGGGAGTTGCAATCGGTTACTAGACTTGGTTACCGAAAATATTTTTAGTCACAAGATGACTGAATTTCATGGTCAAGTCCATCTGTATTTCCATCAACTAAGAAGCAAAGTTTCAGCATGTCAGAATTTTAAGTTCTCGTTATATTCGAAATCAGCTTTTTATGTTGGTGTTAGGTTATTAACTCTGATTTCAGTATTTTGTTTTTAGGTTAACTTTTAGTTTGCCACGCTTCCTAATTTGGCATAAACACCTTCTACTCAAAATACATCAGCACTCTCGTTTTGAAGTGTTTGATGAGTTGAAAACTTTTTAAAACATTTTGAAAACAATTTTCATTCGGCTCGATGTGTATCTCAAAATGTCGCCTTTATTCGATGCTACTTTAATATTCAATTGTCTTAAATGGATTGTGTTTTGTTATCCGTACAGATAAAATGGATATCCATCAAGAAACGATTTGCACTAGAACATGAAACATTAAACTTAACTTGACACCTAATCATGATACTTAAGCCTACGTACTTATGTAAAGCTAAACATATAGGTATCTGATTTAATTAAGTACCTTTTACAACTCATAACAGATTCAATAGCTACTTATGAGTATCTGTCTCTCTCGTGATTTTGAGGCCAGATTCGAAACATCCTAACTTTACCAATTGAATTTAAGTTTTTACCAGATTCTTCTTATTTCTATTAACCATAGCTTATGTCTCAAATCGTATCATACAGCAATACCTACATTCCGAGGGTAAAACATGGCACATCACCACAAAAAAGCTCACTAGGTATTGCACCACTCTGGCAAAAAGCCTCGGCAGAACCCCCGATCATATGGGAGAAATGGAACCAGCAACTATATCTGGGAATTGTTGCGAAAGACGGAAATAAATTCCAAAAACTCCTACAAGATCCACCTCCAGTTCGAAAACCGCAAGACCCTGGTTACGAACTTTGGATAGAGGAGGAAACTCAGGGCAGGCCAGAGATAGAGGCATCCGCAATCAAGAAAAAAGAGTACAATGGGAAAATAATTGTAGTAAAATTGATAATTTGGGACCCATGTGAAGACGTCGATAGTAAGTTTCGAAGTTATATCTAACTCAGCCTAGGAAACGAAGGCCAAAGACGTCTCAGTCAACACTTTCCTGACTTAAAACTACAGGAAACGACCACGAAAGACATTTGGATAAGACTACACATCTCTTCATCAAGGACCGCAACGTAATTTTGACAGATATGAGGCATTTACAAGAAAACAAGCAAAGAGAGAAACTTTGGAACATTTTCACTGTGGCCTCACGAAACTTTTGATAAAAGGGAACTTCAAGATTCCAAACTGCAAGGCTAAAACTCTGGAAACAGAAACAATCAGGGACCTCTTTACAGCAGGTATGACAAATGACGAGGTAAAAAAAGACCTTTTGGCAGAGACGAAGACCCCTGAACAAGTGTTTGAATAAGCAATACGTAGAGAAAAGGACCTGGAAAATCAACTCCAAATACGTAAACAAGGAACAATTGCATCGTCGTCCCAACAAACGGGAATAAAAGCCGAATGTTGGATTTTTACAAAGAAGGGAGATCAGAACCGCATCGAAGAGCAAACAGAGGTCGCCTGCTATCACAACGAGGTGAAAATAAACAACAGGGAACCAATCAAAATCAATTTTCCCATAAATGCGGAAATCCGTTCGGACTTG